GCCTTCTCCATGGTCCTGAAACAGCCCGCGGCCGCTCCCCTCCAGCTCCCGCTACAGCTTGCGCTACCAGCTCCCGTGGGAAGATTGGCTTTTCCCCGGCAAAACTTCATTTCTAACAGGGAAAGACCACGTCTCCTCTTTGTATCCGGGCACTTACAGGAGAGGCAGGAAAACAGTCACATAATAGCACTGCAGTTGTTTTTTTGTGAGGAAAACGCAGCCTATTTCACTACATGCAGGAGAAATGCTTAAAATAGTTGTCAATCCTTCGAGTGGGAGAGTGTCCTTCTTCAAGGCAACCGAGAATCTCCGAGACTCTCTCAGATGTTAAAGCAAAGGCAAATTCCCTTACAGTAAACAGGAACTATGACCTTGTCCTCTCTAAGCTAGTGTGAGGGTGGTGAGGAAAACACATCCTCTGTGCCAAAAGATGGAGTAGAAGCAATCACAGAATCATGCTAGAAATGCAGTGTTATTGAGGGATGAACACATATAGCCCCTGTGCTGCCCTGCCTATTTGGAGAGAAGAGAGAGTGATTCCTGCCACCCTTCATCCTTCTCAGGAAAATGTTTCCATTCCAAGAAGAAACTGGATATGAGTAAACATGAAGACCTGAGCCTGTCTTATCTCTAGTGGAAACCAGCCACTCTATCAGCTTGGTGGAGGAACAGGGTGAGGGAGCACAGAGGCAGCTGGGAAACACTCAGAACATAGCTCTACTTTTTCCTATAATGTTTTCTCTATTTTTAACAAAGTAGAGAGAAAGTCAGCCTAGATACAACTTTAAGGGAACACAGTGCACACGAGCTGCTAACACTGCTTATCATTTAGACCCTCCCTTCCCCACGTCATCTCTTTGAGTGTATTTTTGGCAGGCAAATCAGAACACCTGGATTTGCAAATCATAGCAACTTTTGATCCTTTTGTCTTTTAAAGATGGAAATAGGATGAGACAGATGCTTCTGTTCTGTGGATATGGAGGCAGATCTTTGACTAATCCTCTTGAAAGAAAAGGGAAAAAAAAGTATTGGAACACCCAGAAATCTTTCTGGAAGCCCTGAGACATGAACCCAGAGGTTTAAAGGGATACAGGTGAGGGAAAAACACAGACTAAATAGGTGAAAGTGCAGAAAATGAGAGAGTGCTGGGATGTTTTAGAAAGCTGAGATTTGAAAGAGAACGCTAACAAACAAATGGGAATTTAGGCACCTCAAAAAATTTATTAAAAAACGGCATTCAGAAAAGGATTCCTGCCCTTAGTCATGAAAAGGAGATCCTGGCAAAGTAATGAGATCCCTAGTCAGTCTTTGTCTGGTTCAGTGCTCCTGATACATTCAAAACCATCTGCAAGACCTGGAAAGCAAGACGCCAAACAGACTGAAAATAGTTAAGAAAAGAAAAGAAGAAAAGAAAGAAATTATGTAATTTCTTCTCAGCACTGAAATATTGCCATATTCTTCAAAGCATTTTCTCACAGCCACCAAAATGAATCCCACCTCCACTTGGAAATCAAATCAGCTAACACTGACTCATATCCTACTCTTCCTTTCTTATTCTTGATTAGTATGAATTGAAGTCTTGATGCAGGAAGAAGTGACATACGCAACTCCCCCAAACTCCAAGCTTGCAGTATTTGTCAGGAGGAGGTGGTGAAAGGAAACCATCTTTGAAGAAATTTAAATAAATTAAATTCACTGATTTTGTATATTTTATTGGTCAATAATAACCAGTGCAGTTTTTCAAATCACTGTTGGAAGTGGAACCATCTTACTGATATTCAAACAACTGGAGAAAACAGCTCACTTGAAGATGTTGCTTTTATCAGTGGCAATGCTGTTTAATTAACACATTTAACATGTTATTCATAAACAAGGATAGACTGGTTCCTTCCACCACCTGTTACTTGAAGCCTTTAGCTTTGTCACATCTTTATGTTCAGTTTACTTCCATCACCATGAAGTGGTATTAACTTTAGAGAAATTCTCAGGAGACGATCTGGGAATGAAAAGTGGTCCCAAGGATTAATAAAGTGACAAGGGTATATACGAAAATTTCATTGGCAGACCTGAGACCAAGACATTCTGCTTCTTCAATGGATTAACAACGAAGCCCTCTTCTGAAAGGTCTGAAATAAATGTGTTGATGAAGACCTCATGCATTTTTCTTTCACCAACCAGACTCCTTCTTAAAATTTTGAACAGTAAGAGGGCATCCAGTGCATAATTATGGACTATGGTGCCACAAGTGACTTTTAGGAAATTACAGTAGGGCCTACCAGACGTATCTGTGCTTCTATGTATTTCCATGAGGAACCAGCCAGCCCTTACAGCAATGCCAGAGCTGTGTATAGATGCACTCTGTTAATACCACATTTCTGTATGCACTCCTGATAACAAGGTACAAGCATGAAGTAAATCACTAGACCATTCAACAAATAAGAAAATGAGTGGGAAAAATGATACTTACATAGCAAACATCCTAGGACTGTGTACACAAAGGGCTCATTGCTAATCTTGTTAGCAACCTTGCACACCTTTTATAATCTGTAAAACAAAATTGCCCACAGCAGTAATGAATCTCCGTTGCCAGATACCCTCAAAAAACTGCATAAAATTAAATGTAGAATTTGTGCTAGAATTTCAGACACTCTACACAGTGAAATCATTCTCTGATGGAAATTCATGAAATTATATGTGCATGATGCAAAATTAGATTGCACCTTATCCTAGCCAGGGCTCTAGAGGAAATGTGAGTGACAGTAGCAATCAGTTTTCTACCAGGTAGTTTTCTTCTAAGATGTAGAAGACCAGGTTCAACTCCCAACTTTACTTGAACGAGTTTAATTCATTAACTGGGAGGCTATTCTAACCAGCAGGCTATGAGGTAGTTTGAGGTCAGGCTCTTTCAAACTTTTTATTGTTCCACTCAGTATTAACATCGATGGAAATCCATATTTTCCATGTCTAAGTACATCTCCTAATCATCAGACTAGAGATACTAGTGTCCCACTTGCCATCTCTCTCTCTAGTGTCCTTGGTTCAAATGACCACTTGGTTCAAGTGGCCCCTGAGCCACTGCCATCCTTTCTGATGGAAAGACCTAACTATCTTGTAACAAGAAATACTGAGGTGCAATTTTCCTCTTTTGCTGGATAAGTATTTTAATAAAACTTAACAGAAATTGTGCCAAACAGCAAGAGATTGAATGCTAACCTAGGTTCAGTTCTTCAGGGAATGTTTGTACAGAATATAGCCATGTCAGCAAGAGAGGAAGTAAATCATCCTCAGACATCCTGTGGTGGCTAAGGTGTCCCTGAAAGAAAATATCAAACCCCTCTAAAGAGATAGGAAAAGATCCTGGCTATGATCAGCCTTGATAGCTATTCTAAACCCTGAGTGCTGGATAAGGTGGAGACAGTTCTGAGGATTCAGCTCTCCTTTTTAGATCAAGAGAACATTTCAGGTTGAGTGAAACTTATTGTCTGCTTTGGGTTTGGTTGACGTAAAGGAGAAAAAAAAAAACCCTGCTTTGGTTTCAATTGCATTTTTTATTTTAAATTTTGTTTAGATAGTTGTACTTAAAAATCAGTTCCTCACGTAGTCCTAACCAGAATCTTGTTTTTAAATTTAGCAAAAAGCTATTTAATTAAAAGAGAAATATTATGACTGTGTTTCTTCATAAATAAAGTGAAGCACTCAGGCAATACAGGGGAGTCCAAATAATATTCATATACTCTGGATCCATGTATCAAGGCATGCAATATGCAACATGCATTTGTTTGATGTTATGCAGCATGTAATAGATATGTGTCTAGCCTACTCATACGTCTACTTACAAAGCTATATGTATATCTTTTGAGGATCAGCCATGGATTTCTACATACCAACTTCTGATCAGTGTAAGGGTGGATGGATACGAGGGCTGCTCCAGCCCCTTTCAAAAGCCAGATCCTCTGAGATGCTGAGCTTTGGTGAGAGAGCACCTCAGCTGCTCACAAAAAGTGCTTACCATCTTTCTAAGTGAGGCAGACAAGAAGCGTCATTATTTTTTCATGTTAAATCCTGAAAAATTTCCAAAGCACGCTGGTCCATAGTTTGTGCTTAAACATCACCAATGAGATTCACCTTTTCTAATTAAATTATATTGCTTATTTTCCACTCACTTTATTTGAATTGTCCATTGCACTAGAAAATGCTGAAGTAACTTCTTTTTAAGGGATTTCCATTTTGTTTGGGTTTGTTTGTTTGTTTGTTTTGTTTGTTTGTTTGATCCATTTAGTAACATCTTAGGACAGTTTTATTTTTCAGTTTCTCTGACAAAATTACATTCAGGCTGTGTTAAAGCAAAGCTTTTGTGGATCTTATACTGGAATATTTTTTGATAAGGACTGCACATATCAATAACAGAAATGATGAATTAATGGATTTTCTGTTCTTTAATAATGGACATATAATAGAAATTATCATCACAAACTGAAATATACTAAAAAAATAAGATATAACCATACTATTGAGCGTTAAGAGAAGGTAGAGAATGGTTCAGATTTTATCTTATTGCACAAGTTAATAAGTAGAGGTAAAGGGAGCAGGAAGGAGAATATGGCTTCACATCTGCCCTCTGCATAGGCATGCCCGACTGGTTTTTCAGAGTGTAGTTTTCATTTCATTTATGTTAGTCTCACTTTGAAGGAACTCCATTATACGCAGCTGACTGCAAATGCATTAATAGAAAATCTTTGTATATTAGAAGACCTTGGGCATATTTTGTATTATAGTACTTACAGGCTGGCGTTGAGCAGTCCCTTGTGTTGTGATACAGTCGATGAAAGTGCTTGCTACACTCTGATGAAAATGTGACTGGCCCTGTTTGAAAGTAAGCAGGAGTTAACCACATGCTTTCAATGTCACTGCTTTGCAGCTTCAATGAATGACGGCAACACATAGAATTAAGTTCATTTTTTTTTGGCTAAAATTACATTTAGTCTTTTACTACACCTTAAACAATTATGATGCAACACAAGTATAAAAATGTTACTGAAATAACAGAAAGAAATACTATTGCTACGCTATTATGCTCACGATCTGAGTAACAGAAACATGGCCCTTGGAAACGATGGACTGGCTTAGCCTTGACATTCCAGTAATTCAAAATTAACAGTAAGATTTCTTATATGGTGAAAAATAGAATGGTGCAACCACAATAGAATTTAGTTTGCTCGGTAGTTGTCAGTAGTCTAATGTAGAAGGAATAATGTAGATGGAATGCAGATGTTTGTTATTTCTAAAGATAAATAAAAGCAACATTTTAAGCAAATATGAGTTTCTAAGCCCTAGAAAGATGAATTAGTTTCGTGTACTAATGCTTCTAATTTGCACATAGATGGTTTATGAAGTTCTTAATATACAGTGTGGGTGTTGAGGAAAAAAAATGACAGCTGAATAACATCTAGGAACCTGATCTCCTTTTAAAGTAGTCCTAGCCAGAAAGGGTGTAAATGTGCGGAGGGCAGCATGTGTCTCAACGTTTGGGTGAGGCAAATCCCTGTGTGCCCAGGGTGTAGTGTGCTGTGTCTTTGCTCTTCCAGCCCGTGATCCCTTCTCTGGATATACAGTGTCATCTGCCCACGTTAATATTTGATAAGAATATATAGCTACTGGTCTCCAAAACATGGCTCAAAGGTAACAAGTTGCCAAAGAGCCCTTCCATAATTGCTGATGGCCCTGGGAAGGCATTACTGATGGCATCCAAGTTGAAAAGGAGAGCAAATATGTAATATTTGCATCATGTAACCTGCTTAGCAATACTACCACTGACAGCTGGGGACAAGTTTCCTGTGATTTGGACAGAAAACACTGACATAAATTGATACTAACTGAACAAGACTAAATTTAACTTGCGTCCTCTAAATTCAGCACAAATACGAACCCTGAATAAGAATAGCTTATTTCAAGCAATGCTACAAGAGGATCCATATGAAGCACGCTGTGTTGACTAACTTTCCTGCCAGAAGAAGATAGAAAGCATTTCAGGGCAAAAATTATTTATTTCTCAACTTGAAAGGTGGTTTATCAGCCTGGTAGAACATACCAAGCCAATTCTCTCTGGATAGTGGAGCCAAACTACCAAAAGCTTGAGAGGATTCCTCTCTATGACAGTAAACACACTTGAACATTAGAGATATTTTACAGTAATATGTGGATTTCATGAGGTTTTTCAGCCACAAATAAGCTTTTCAACAAACTGACAAAGCAGCCTTTGCAACTTTGAACTGGAAGACTGTTGCCATTTTTTATCATCTGAGTGAGTAATTAGGCTCAAGAGAAAGTAGGTAATTTGAAATTATCCAAGATATAGGGAGATAACATCAGCTTTTGTCACTAAATAAATTCCATGACCCTTCAGTTAATATATGGTTTTCTAGCACTCTTCCTTACTGTCCTAGTTTTGGCTGGGATAGAGTCAATTTTCTTCTCAGTAGCTGGTACAGTGCTGTGTTTGGATTTAGGATGAGAATAATGTTGATAACACACTGATGTTTTAGTTCTTGCTAAGCAGTGCTTAGACTAAATTCCCATGCTCTACCAATTGAGAAGGCTGGAGGTGCACAAGAAGCTGGGAGGGGGCACAGCCAGGACAGCTGACCCAAACTGGCCCAAGGGACATTCCATACCATGTGACGTCATGCTCAGTACATAAACTGGGGGAAACTGGCTGGGGGGGGGCGCAGCTGCTCAGGGACTGGCTGGGCATTGGTCGGCAGGTGGTGAGCAATTGCATTGTGCAACCACAACACTTGCCATCAAAAATAGGCTATTAATTTTATTTGTGCCTTACAGAGCACTCTGTGTCAGCTGGCTTTTCAAGCTGAATTGATAGATAGCTTTATAACTCACAAGATTATTTATGATTTTTTCCTATAGTCGAGGACTGTTACATATGGTTCTTATTTGGCTTTAAAATGTGTCTACTATTCTTGGCATACTAGAAGTGTACAATAATTTTCTTAACCCTGAAACTGTAAAGATAATGGACTGTAAAGATAATGTTGATTTCCCCTTCTCTTCTTTTTTTCACAACTTCATTAGTTCAGGATGTTCTAACTCTCAAACTGGTAAGGACTATATCTGAACAGTTTACTTAACGAAAGTTAACAGAAAAAGGATTATGATTTGAACAGAATCAAGAAAAACAAAGTTAGGCTGTATTTTAAGAAAATGCCTGCCATTTACAGGACCTAATAAAGCTGTGGAAAAGAAAAAAACAGGCAGAAAACCCCTCACTGACGATCTTAAGAGCATAATTAAAAAAAAAAAAAAAAGAAAAAAGATGTAGGCAGAAATTCTGAGCCAACAAAGAAATAAACATCAAGAAGTTTGGAATGAACTTGCTTTCCTTATTCATTCCAGCTAATGTTAGTCAAATAATTTCAGCAGCTTTGATGGCAACTACTCATGCAGAAAAGGACTATTGATTTCATGAATGGCTCCAGAAACAGGCCTTCAGTATTTTTTGCCTTTTTTCTTTTCTGTGATTTAGTGTTCTCAAAACACCTTCTGTAAAACTCGTTGTTTTTCACTGTTGTTTCTGAGTAATGAAACGTTCTGTATTCATTATTTAGCTTCCCCATATTCTTATGTTGAGCTTTTTATGGTAGCTGAGCAGTTTCCAAAGTTAAAAATGAAAAGGAAATGGATTAAGTATTAATATAAGCAAATCTTTCTTGTCTGTCCTCCCCAGGAGAGGAATTTTCAGTATTCCTGTGCTACATAAGATTGCATAGTTGGAATCTGTATGTTCTTTTCATTTCTTTCTCATATGGACTGAAAATGGTAAGGTTCATAATTACTCTTGTTTACTGTAAGAGTGAAGGGCCAGCTGGGTGTGGCACGTTTCCTGTAGATGCTGTTAGGCTGCAGTTAGCAGTTGGCAGAAAGATCCTTAAAGTTGCACTTATCCTAAAGGTTTGAGGACATCTCCCCCATGCAAAAGAGACAACAAATTCCCTCCTTTCTTGCCAAGGGCTGTCTGAATTTTCCAGCAAAGAGGAAATGCATAATTATTTCCAATTCTCTTTTTCATGCTCCAACTGCCAACTTATTTCTCTAGTTTTTAGTTTCACTAATGCCTGTAATGTTGAAAATCACCAACAGATCTGCAGTGTCATACTCTGAGACCTTCACTTTTCTGAATTACAGAACATTTGGAACTGGAGACTAAAGAATCAGTACAAGCATCTTGCTGCTGGAATCTTTTTGCATATATTCAGAGGGTACAATATTTTTCCCAGTAGTTACAAAATAGAATCCCAAAGGTAAGTGCATTATACAACTCCACCTCAGTTTTCAAGTAAGTACTTGACTGTAATCATAATAAACTTTCATATTTGAAATAGCAATTTTTTTTCTGTTTCACTTATACTGATTTAATCCTTCCTTGTTCTATTTGTTTCCCTTGTTAAAATAAGCATCCACATGTATACATCATGAGACAGAAGACAAAAAGTGTTTCCCTGATATAGTGCAAACTTACATGGCCACATAGGTCTGTCTGAAAGATATGTGCAGTCCAATGAGAAGTTTTAAAATTAGTGAACTTGAAAATAAATATGGCAAGCAACAATAGGATGATAAAAATGAAACAATAAGTTTTAAATAATGTTTTAACTTACCATGTTTTGAAAGTTATTTTAGGCTAGATAATTCAAAGAGAGACTCGAACCTCAGTGTAATTAGGGTTCTTTAAAAATTTCTAGTCCTAAAGTATGCAAATTTAACTTCACAAACGTTAAACCTGGTGCAGAACCTCAAAAAAGCTAATGGTGTGACTCGTGGCTACTAAGAAGACGCATATGTAGAAAAATTAAGAGCAAGCAGCTGTCTTACCTGTAAAATGTTTTATGAACTTGTCTTTTAGACTGGAATCTCTTGGAAAAATTTCTGAGGAGAGAAGAAAAAAATGTATCTATGTAGTATAGGACTTACAGTGAAAGCCCTGAAAGCATAATAAGCCGAGATGTCTGCTGTAAAGAGACCAAATAGCTTCCCAAATTAACTATGAGATTAATTTTCATAGTTTTGTGTGTGTGTGTGTGTGTGTGTGTATAAACAACGTGAAATGTTTCAGGTAATTCACAGATGAATACCAACTGGTCATCCTACAACACACACTATCAAATTTTCTGACAATCATTTCTGCACATCTTCGGTCTGAGTAGGACTATAATTTTAGAAAGACCATAAATAATATAAATACGTTATCATATTATGACAAGTATTTGAGTATCTGAACAAATTACATAAAATACCTAGATAAATACAAACCAAATACCATATTTTGGGTTTTGAAATAACAAATACCTGAAAAGTCTCCTACAGATCACTTAAGATAGATATGGGCCATGTATATTTTCATTGCACTATTAGTCAAAAAATAGTACTCCTCTCCTGTGAAAACTGCTGTGAATTTTAAAATATTCCCTGTCCATATATGGTATTTTTTGCAAAAAGTACAAAAGCAAGTAGAAGTCTCAGAACAGCCAAAGGAATCAGGCAGAACAGAAATTGGAGCTAACACAAAAACTATACTATTTTTTGTTTGCAATGGGATGCTGCCTTTGGCTTACAGCAGAAACTTTTGATGCAAATAAGTATTCTCAGAACTAGTACATTTCCCCTCAGTCTCATAAATTTTCCACTCAAAAACTGTATTAAAAAATTCTTGGGTAACTGCAGTTATTACTGCAGACAGTAACTGTATATAACAGCTGCATGTTATGTTAAATTCAAAAGAAATACCTTTCTTAGCTCTAATACAAGGAACATGATTAATTCTCAGCATTAGAACCTGCAGCTAAACATACTTACTAAAAATATTTCCTTACAACTTATGTCATTTTAAATCTTTGTATTCTCCTACCTTTTTTTTTTTCAATTCCCAGCCTGAATTAACATTTAGCTCAGAGGAGAGCAAGTTTCCTTTCATACTGTAGGAAGATGTTGGTTATCTGCCAAAATAAATTCTTACCACTGGCTTTAGGCAGTTTCTGAGAGGTCACATGAGTGTATTTTTAGGCTGGGATTTTAAGCTAAAATGCTCAAGTCTTACTGCAACTCAGCAAGATTAGGGGATCTAATTTACTTAAGATTCCTCGCAAATCTCAGTTTTAACTGAGATTTAAGTTTTAACTGACATAAACTTAACTTGTTTCCTTACTGCAAATGAAATATTACCCCTTCTACATTAAACTTAGAATTTTACTGACATGAAACGTCAGGTGGTTTAAAATGACGCAGAATGAGGCATATGACAAGTCAAAACAGTGAAACAATCTGGGTGAGTTTTGAATGGGATGCCTCAAGTGGACCAGTACTGACAAATAACCAAAGCCTGGTGAAGGTTGGGCTAGGAACAGGCCATTCTTGCTCTGACAAAGAACATTTACACCCAGGTCTTTTCGAAGTCTCTAGTATTTGCTATGGGAACAGTAACCGCTTTTTGCCCCATAAAATTCTTTAGGAAAAGTCCGTAAAACAGTATGTAGCCAAAACCCCATCCCTAAATGCACAGAAGGCAAAACAGGATAAAGGATTTGATGCTCAGGCAAGGAGCTAGGCATTGCAAGCATAAAATTGCAGCTGTAGCCGTGTTGGTAAGCCTGAGAAAGAACGCTGCAGGGTCTGCTTCCCACGAGTAACCTGCATCGGCCCAAGGTTCACACCAGCCCAGCTATGCCTGTCCCAATAGGGAAAACTAGGTCAGTCGTGTGTTGGAAAGTGGCTGAATGATACTGACTGCATGCCTGCTCCTCCCCTGCTGCAGCTGCCATCCCTCCGGGCAGCAATCAGCTTTTCAACATGTGCCCACGTTTCAGCTTTCTTCAAGTGCTCGTTTTCTTAACGGTACAGTACATTTGCTTGGTAAAACACAATCAGTGAGCCCCTAGCCCTCCACAAAGACAACCTAAGCTCATTTGTATAAAAATCACGGGCAGTACAGGTTACTGGAACACTTCTGTCCGCTGGCTCTGACGGCAGGGGCAACTCCGCCTGAACTATGAATTGCCCAACACAAACTCAGTAATTTTCTTCCGTCTTCCAGCAGCGTAGCCAAGCCCTTCTATCTGTACACAACTGTGAGGCTGAGGTCTCAAAGGACTTAGTATTTCAATCAAGCAGATGAACATCTTTTTTGAACAGAATATGTATCACTGACTCCCAACCAGATCACTCTGCAGCCAGAAGCAGGATCCCAAGTCCATACAGGATGCTTTTATAAGGCAGTGAAAAATCATCATGACAAAACCTTTACGCTAGCTTTTGCTGGCTTCTAACAAGCTCTTAGTTGCTCCAGTCATATTTCACGTGGCATCTATCACCTATTAAGACAGAGCGCTCAATATCCATTCTCACAATGTACGCTCACATCCTCACAATGCAACTTAAATTCCTTTGACATATTAATTTCACAAAGGAAAAGCAGAAACATGAATATAATAAGATAGATTGGCAAAGCATTACTAAAATCAAAACACTTGAAAGTCACACTGGGCAAAAATACAAAAGACATAGGAAAATGAAAGAATAAAATGCTTTAAGTGTGAAACCCACATGAACAGGAAATATTGAGTGGAGAGAATTTATTCAATCCATTCTTGCCTCAAGACCATGTTACACAATCTAATAAAATACAGCCAGTATATATCCCATGGGATATAGTAACTGATTATTTTTAATCAGCTGGGAGAATATTCAGACTGTGGCATTCTTGTGCCCAGGCTTACAAAACCCGCACTGCTCACCAGAGAGAGTACATCTGAGTTATAAGGCACTTGTGCTATTGACCCTGGCTTCATCCTGGGTATAATCTCAGATTATAATCACAAATAATCTTAATTCAATTCTTTTTTATTTATATTAGGACCTCTATGTGTGTCCTTAGATAATTACTCATCTGGGGCAAAATGCTGCCCATCCTACACCCCTTCCACAGACAGCAATGGCCGTGGACAACTATTAAATGGTGCTAGGACGGATCTGCTACTGGATCTGCTGTCTAAAATACTAAGAATATTTATGGCAAAAATCTAGGGACAAGACAAATTTAGAGGGTTTTCCAGCTCTGCTTCACAGACAGAATGGTTAAGTTTATACTGCAAATTTTGTTCTAAACCATCCATACTGTTAATTCTCTCAATCTGAGTTGTGACACCTCACAGAAGCTCTTGGGGCTTCAGATAAAAGGTGACTGAATCTGCCAGAGTTTTATACCACGCTGGGATAAATGGGATGATGGTAAGAGCTAGCAAGGTCTGAGCTAAAAAGCAGTGAGCAACAGCTGCTCCAGCTCCCCACTCTTTCATTTTGTTGTAAACTTTCCAAAGTTGATTTAAATCACTGTTGTTAAGCTAATTCCCTAGAAAATTATTCTGTGCACTTTTCAGTTGTTATTCAGCACCTGGTAGCTGACATGAATGTTTAATTTTTCACTAATTTGGACATGATTACAGAGAGGCAGAAGACTAAATAAACCACAGCCCTGGGCTCAGGCATATGCTTAACCTGCAATATAAGATATAGTTTCTTCACCTTGGATCAGGCTTTTCACCTTTCTGTGCCTTTGGTCTCTCTGTGTTTTGTCTGTTCAGACTGCAAAGCTGGGATAGCAGGTGCTGATTTTTACCCTGTGTTTGCACTGTCTCCAGAACCATGTCACCATAATCGTGTCTAGAAAATTCATGTCCTGCTATAGTATAACTAACAAGAAGAGCTGTGCTCGCAGCACTGAAATAAGTCAAATCCACACAACAGTTTGGTAGCTTGGGGGATGAAAACTCCACATCCTCAGGTGATATCACCTTGGCAGAAAAAAACAAGATCTCTATTTGTTTATGATCCCAACAGGCAGCCTTTGCTTATTTTTAGCTTATTCAGAGAAGCAGTGTAAATCAGACAGCAAAAATTACTCCAGATCTTGGCCTAGTCCGGGTCTACACCAGGGGGACCTACAACGTCTCACTGCAGGCTATACTGTAGGCAAGGGCAGAAAACATGAAGTAGCAGAGCTCAGGCTCTGCTTCATTGGCCAAGTCCCTTATTCTTTCTATGTAAGAAGAAAAGTCTTCATCAAGAATCATAACCTTCTCTTTTTGTAAGAATATTCATGCATCTAAAAGAAACCCCAATAAAATCCAAAGCAACTTTTCCTCAATTACTAAAAAAAATAAGAAAAAACATCAACTTTTAAACCATTCATAGAACCATTAAGGTTGGAAAAGACCTCTAAGATCATTGAGTCCAACCATCAACGCAACACCACCATGTCCACTAAACCATGTCCCTAAGCGCCTCATCTACAAGTCTTTTAAATACGTCCAGGGATGGTGACTCAACCACTTCCCTGGGCAGCCTGCTCCAATGTTTAACCACTCTTTCAGTAAAGAAGCTTCTCCTCATGTCCAGTCTAAACCTCCCCTGGCGCAACTTGAGGCCATTTCCTCTCATCCTATCACCTTTTCTTTCAAGAACATCCATTAAGTCTTGATGTGTAGGAGACATGCAGAATTCCCATTCCTTCC